CCCTTTCCAAAAAGTATGAAATTCAGCATAAGTTACTCACTATAAAGTCGTCATTGCTCAGATAAACCATAATTTTTATAGCCTCAATTTTATTTGGTTACAGAGATATCAAATAGAAAATCGGACCCCTCCTGCCACACCCACGTGTCACATCCTCTCTTTCAGGATTTGTTAATAGCTCTCTCTCATGTTTAATCATATATTACTTATGACCAATAGAAAGCAAAGTTTTTCATCTATCAAATGATGTATTGTATTCTGAACAGATGAGTGTCATGTTCACTTATAATACATGAGTCATTCCCGTGGGAAAGTTAATGACTAGCTTGGATGAATTAGTAACAGCTCTTGTCACATAGTTAAAAAGCCAGAAAAAGTTTGAGAGTTAGGGGAAATTGTCTACATTTTGCATATTATAAGTCTATGTTCTTCGGTGCATTATTTAATTGAAAAAAAAATATTTAGTGCATTACTATGATTAGTATATAAAAAAAAGTAGGGTTAAGTGTCATTGACAGTCAACAGCAAGAAAAAAGAAGATTGGGTAAGTACTTTATTTCTTGTTTTTCATGTTTATTCTTTATTTATTATCATAAAAGTAACTAAAATGTAAATATAGGGAGCTCTTTAGGTAAGTTGAAATTAAATTAGGTAAAATAGTTGAAATTAGATTAGGTAAAATAAACAATAATAATAATAATATACTAAAAATATTTCATGAGGCATGCACATGAGCATTTCGGAGTAGCTTGTGGGTAATGTAATTCAATAGGGTAATGCGAGCTGCACATTCCCCAAGTAATTTACAACTTATAATTGCATGAATAGTAGTTAGACACGGTTCAGAGGACAATAATATTTAATTATACATAGATGTATACTGTTACAAGTTTAAAGCTACTTAGGATAAATGAATGTGGTTGCACGCTACATTTGAAGTCATTTTAGAAATAAAAAACAGGGTAATTTAGATTTATTTATTTTTTGGTGGTTATGAGATCAGTCAAATTTTCCAACCTTGTATAGAGTTAGGGTAAAGAAAGTTCCAGGTAAAATATCAAGTTTTACTAAAACAAACATTTGAAATGTATTTTGGGAGGTTTTAGAGGGTACACACATGAAATTTGAGATTTTTGAGTTGAAGAAAAGTATTTTTAATCTTAATATGAAAATCACTTTGCACACGAACTATTCAAAACAAAATACTCAATATGTTTTAAGACAAATTTGTTTTTAGTTTATGAAAAATACTTCACTAAAAATATGATTTTTTATGTGAAAGATTTATAATGTTTACTGAAAGACTGCCAACTTTCGTGAAGATATACACACTATATTAAAAGTTAGTAGTATCATATCTATAAGGACTTTGAACGAGCAGAAAGAAGGCACATGGTCGATCAGATTGACTGAACCCGTGTTGAAGGAGTTAAGTATGCATTTTAAAACATAACTAATACATAATTAACTAAGATATGGTAATTTAGAATTATTTCTTAATTTTTTTATGGTGGTTATAAGTCAGTCAAATTGACCAACTCCACATACAGTTAAGGTGGAGAAAATAATGGATAAAATTGAAAGTTTTTCTTTAAAAAAAACGTTTGATAGTTACTTAGGAGGTTATAGAAATTACTCAAATAAAATTTTACAATCTTCAGATGGAGAAAAGTATTTTAATCTTAAAATCAAAATTGCTTTGCATTTTGGGTAGTTGACATTCAAAAAGAAAAAATTCACAAGCAAATCTTTAATTAATAAACCTGATATTTTATGTATGAAACCTTGTAATGCTTATTGATAATTTGCAAAATGTCATAAAGGTATGTGTACATGAATAATAAATAATTTTAATGGTGTATATAGATATATATACATGTACATTATCAAAAGTTATAGTATGATTACTGTCATAGTTACTTTGGTGGTTACATAGTAAGTGCAATGCACCGAGCCCCATAGTTAAAGATGTGAAGCATAATAATTTTTCAAAAAATACATACACTAGGCAGTATAAAAAAGCAGACAGTAAACAAAATAAAACTAGAAAAAGTTTTAACTTAGACACATAAATTTATTCTTTATTATCTTTTATCCAAGTTTTTATTCTCAGATCATGTGGAACAACATTCACTCAACAACTTTAACTAACCATAAACACAGAAATAAAAAATGCCTCGAAAAATGTGCTAAACTATATATGTGATAAATAGGAGAAAGACCACAACAATATTCCTTCCCTATGATACTGATAAATCTGGTTACATTTCAGGCAGAAACCCTCTGTCAGACAATAAAGACTGTGTTACAATAGAATTAGGCTCAGAAAGAATTGACAACCATGACAACAAATAAGTAATGCCATATTGAATGACACTCTGTAAAAGGTCATGTCATGTGCACTTTAAACCCCACCTGTGCAATGGACTTTCATTGGTTATTAGACATTGGATGGTTTATATAAAGTTCTCTGTATATTTATGTAATGCTTTTCTAAGAAAGAGTGAATAGGTGATAGTACATGTAGCAAACAGCTAGTTCTTGTGTGTATTTTTGAGGAAGGTATTATCCTCTGTCTTTAACATTATTTTCATTAATGGTATTAGTTAAAATGTTCAATATATGCTTGTTTATTTTTTATTATGAAGATTTTTTTTGTATTGCTAATAGCAAGGGTACACAGCTGATGAAACTATGCACTCTTAATCATTATAAATAAGAATAGTAGGTTAATTAGTTATATTCATTACTGGGTGAATTGTTATTTCTGATCAGAAAGTAATGGTAATTAACAAAAATGTAAAATGTTTTGCTTGTTAAATTTGGTTATGGTTAATATACTAATAAATCATCTTTAGTGGCTTAGCATTCCAAACCATTAATAAATATGCCACTAAACGATTTTTAACTAGGCTACAAGAGACCTAGAAGAACTGGATCGTAAGAGACGTGAAGAATTTAAGCGTTATGAAATGGAAAAGGAATACCAGTACAGGGAATCATTGAAAAATTTAACAGAAGATGAAAAAAAAGAAGCTGAAAGGAAACATGAAGAGAAGAAAAACAAACATAAAGAACATCCACGGGTCAATCATCCCGTAAGTTAACTATTATTATGTATAGAACAGATGGCTTTTTGTTGATTTTCGATATCTTAATAGAGACATAATTTCTCAAGTAATCTTTTCCGGCCTTGCATAATGAGTACACATGTAGTTCAATTTTCACTTTTACCTTTCAGTAATCTAAGTTGTTATAGTAATCCTACTATAAGTTGAGAGAAGTTTGCTTGTTCTCTAACTCCTCCTAGGCTTTTGCATGTGGACCTGTAAAATATGGTTTAATCAACTAGGAATGATTTGGAATGTGTCAAGAAGTTATTTTTCTTTTAAAATGCATAGATTTCATAGCTCCAGTGCTGATTTAAATATAGATCAATCAGTGTGGGTGGCCACTAGAAGTACTTAATGGGATTTCTCCAGTTTGCTCTTTCACTACATGAAGTATACATACAGTTTATATACTTTCAATCATTACTGGCATATTTAGAACAAAAACAAACACTTTATATTCATAACTGTTAAAAACGTTAATTCTACAATTGCATTTCATTTTAACATCCTATCAATCATTTGAGGGATTTCTTTTTCACACATTGTTTATACAAACTTTCAATATACACACACTTGTATTAAGTGAGATGTTTTTAAGTCAAATTTTATTTATTGTTTTTTGATTTAAAAAAAAAGTAAAATAGAAAATAAAATGTTATTTAAATAATCAAACCCAGTGGACATGAATAATGTTATTCCTATGTACTTTCAATCTTTATATTGACATTGCCATATTTCAGGAAAAAACTTTCATAAACCTCTTGCCATGCATTGCATGGGCACATCAGCTAGTATTATTAATTGATGGATATTAGAATGAAGTGGAACATGTGATTGTTTCAGTACCAGATTGTTTCATTAAGTATACAATCCATAGAGGCATTTAAACTGTTGGAAAATAAAATAAGTTTCTTAAACTTTATACATTTGAAATATTCCATTGAATTACACTGGAATATTTCTGATGAAAGTTTGAAGTAAACAATTGGATAAATTTATCATCTTGATTGATACTTGAAACTGTTGGTACTTGGTGAAACTCCATAATTACAAAATTGAGGAAAATAAGACCATTGTACATTTCACAAATACATCATTTCTACATGACCATGGTTTTACCTGTAAAGGCATCATCAGATTCCTCAATTTTGTTAACATCTTGAGGTGACAGTTACGTAAAATATAGGAAATCCTGATAAAAGTGATATTTAAATATTCAAATTGTGTTAAATTATGTAACAAAAAGAGGTTTTGGTTTATGGTTTAATATTTAGTATTCCTAATAGGCTTAAGTTTGAATGTTATTTTGAACAATTTGAAAAGTTTTTGCAAGTATTGTCACATCAGCCTATTTGGAACAGTTCAGGGTAATCCATCAGTAACATTGGAACTCAGATCAGTGGCGTAGCTGTGACTGCTTTTAATAATTACTATAGTGATTATAAACATTTCTTAAATTTAAGTTCAGAAGAATTTGAAGCTTTAAAGAATATTGGCCAAAAATTATAGTATTGTCATTCCAAGTCATACAAATGGAATAGTATTATAATTTTAGGTAAAAGTTATTATATATATAAAGCAGAGGAAATTGTTAGTAACTCTACTAAACTTGTGAAATTGCATCATGATCCTAAAGATAAAAGGGAAGCAAAATTGCATTGATATTTATTGAAACTGAATAAAGACAATATTCTTAATGAAAAATAGTTTTTGAATGTTAGATCATTAGGGAGTCATCCAGGTATTTTTTTAAGGGTTACCAAAAACTCACAAAGAAGGATGCCCCTTGTAGTATCTAACATTGGGACTTACAACAATGCTTTAGACAATTTTTGGTTGAATTTTTGAAAAAGTTCACTAAAAATGACTACACCCTGATAGACAGTTGAGTTTTATCATGAAATACAACAGTTGAAATAGTGTACAATGTGCTAGTTTTGACACAGAATTATTGTATACAAATATACCATTAGAAGAAACCATACTGTTGAGTGCTGATTTGATTTAACTGACAATTCCAATGAAGTGAATATTCCAAAATGAATTTTTTTTAATTAATTGGCTTTGCCACCAAAAAGGTTTAATTTTTTTTTTAATGGAAAACTTTATGATCAGGTCGATGGTATTGCCATGAGTTCAAGACTAACTCCATCTTTTGCCAATCTGTTTTTTTATTTTTCAACAAAAACAATGGCTGGAAAATTTTCCATGACACTATAAACCACTCTACTATCACAAGTACTTTTACCATCTTCAAGAAGTTCGAATTGTAACCAATAGGTTTGTACATCACAATTAAGATAAACTAATTTCTTCTTCATAAAATAAGTATTAAGCATAAAACTGTATCATTTAGCATGTGTGATTCTTTGGCTAACTTGGCATTTTTGAAACTAAAGAAAACTGAAAAATAAAAAGTATTGAAGGAATATCATAATAAACCATATAAAACATGTTTTACACAACAATCACCTTTCAGAAATCCTGACAGATATATATATATAATGGTGTATTTAAATTTTCAAAAGCAGTATAATAATTGACAATACTAATTAAATGTTTTGAGCATTGAAATTATTTTCCAGGGCAGTAAACCTCAATTGGAGCAAGTGTGGGAAGAAAAAGATCACATGCCTAGAGAGGAGTTTGACCCCAAAGTGTTTTTTTCTATGCATGGTAAGTAATAATAAAATATCCCCCCCCCCTCTTAAAAAAAAATACAATTCTCTTTTAGAACTAGGGAGAAAACATACAATCTTTCAGCAACTTAATATCAAAAGACATTTAAAACAGAACTTTAAAGCATGTAAAGAAAATTTATTTTGGAATATATAGTACATGAGATTTCGTACAGATAAATTACTTAGATGTTTCACATTTTTGGCATGTTATTAAACATTAAGTCATGAATGAATGAAACTTAAAGGAAAACTTTGATAATGTGAGAGGCATCTAAGACAAGAAAAACAGTAAATTGGATTTTCAGTCATAAGCTTTTTCCATTAATTTGAATTTCCACAGTGTTTATAATCTTGCTAACTCTATTGATGCAGGCTTGGACATTTTGACTAACTTTGCAACCACCAGGTACCCATGAAAGCATTCATGCTATAATTTTTAATGTAGTAAGTGTATCTTCAGGAAATATGGCTAGCCTTTAATAAGCATTACAATTCTTTTGCACATACAAAAAATCATATTCTTTTAATTAAGTATTTTTTACTAAAGATTTGTCTGTGAATATATGGAGTTATAGTATTACTCAAATTCTGATTATTCTGAGTGCAAGGTGATTTTCTTGTTAAAATCAAAAATACTTTTTTTCATCTTTCAATTTCAAATTTCACTTATATAACCTTTAAAACCTCTTAAATTAATATCAAAAGTTTTTTTCAGTAAAATTATATTTTATATAGAAGCAAAAGTACCTGTCCCCAGTGATGAGAAAAGTTTAAGTTAATCTATCAATTTAAATTATTTCATGGACTTTAAAAAAGTTAATTGTGTTAGAATCTGTCATGATATAAAAGACTGTTGGGTTTAATGATTAATTTATATTTATGAGTCAATACTTTATTATTTTTAACTTTTGTTATAGTAAGAGTTCAAAGCAGACGATTGTAGAAGGTGGCCACTTTCTATATTCTCGACACCAATTAGTTTTTAACAATTTATTACATAGTCGTCGATATAAATAGCATGAGACGAGCAGGAAGCAGCAGACAGACAACAATAGACAGATAATAGCAAAATAGAATATAACTGTGTGAAGTTAAGTACCATAGATGTGATAGGCCTAACGTTTAATATGTTAGTGTGAAACTAACAGTATAAAAAGAGATAAGAAGGATAATTTTATTCCATCAAAGCGTGGATCTAAAGTAATTGAATCAGCCTGGGTACACTTTGACAAAAGGAACACAGAATCTTCAGAAGAAAGAAGACCAAACGAATTACAGTAACTTGCATTACAACTGTAAGTGAATAACACACACAATACTGAATTGTAATGTAGAGAAGATAGTTCGACTTGTCAACTGAAATTCTAAAGTAATTGAAGAGGCCTAAGTGGACTTTTGACAAGAAGAAGAGAACTATATATAAATAATGTTTATGATATGCCTGTAATCTCTATAGTGCGAAGATTTTGTTGTGCATACGTTTAACTTGTTCCGAATATATATATATATATATATTATTTGAAACCAAATAAAGTGTGTGCTGTTTATTCATCATTGAATTATAAGTAAAAGCCATTTATTTCGACACTTGGCAAAAAGAAGAACTTATATATAAATATAATTGTTTTTAAATCTGACTACAATCTTAGATTCACTCAGAGACAAAGCTACTTATACTGACCACTACGAAAAATAATTGTTGAGCATTTTTCAGTCATGTAAGAGACACTCAATAATAACATACAGGAAATCTACATTTTTTATTCTTTAAGATACACATTTTGAAACGTGAATGGTAGCGTGTTTAATTCCTAACAGTTTAGTACAGAATATTCTGCTTGCAAAATACAATTTTGCATCAACATTATTCATGCATGTTGTTCTGTCATTTCAAAAGTGTGTGTGTGTGCAGCTTTTGAAACACAGCACGGGAAGTAGCCCCTGTAAACGGAAGACAGACAAACCCTCAAACAGACACCACGGTTCTCAGTATATATATGTAAGATTATGTTCTTTACCCTAACAATTTACACACTTAGTTTATTTGGCTGACCTCGTAACCATCACGAAAAAAAAATCTAAATTATCCTTTTTTTTTCTCTGCAGATTGTAACAAAAATTACAGAAGCTTGGTCTCTTGTGTTTTTTTTTTTTTACTGTCAGCATGTCTATGAAAGTTAAATTTAATTATTTATAATAATGGAATAGTACATTAAATAATCTTTATTTTGTTCAAAAATACAGTTAAGAACACAAAATAATAACATGCACAAAGCAAACTGTATCCTACAGTTATTATAATTTAACTGACTTTCTAACTCAGGCATAAGTGCCTTAAAATAATTCTTGTAGTTGCTCAATCTGATCAACCTGTAGGCAATATAATTTATATGATTTAAAATTTTGATTGAGAACAAGGTTGCATTACATGTCAGTCGATGAATTATAACTTTGCCTTTCTGTTGGTTATAAATGATGTAAAAACAAACATCAGAGCAGGCTTTTATGCAGAATGTTTTAAAGGGGGCTTCTAATTTACGAGATCAAAAGCCAACACATTATGAGAAGCACAATCAGGTTGCAAAGCATGCTAATAAGGGGGTCTGGGGGCATCCTCCCCACAGAAAAATAGGTGCCATGAGATTTTTGAGGTGTACGCAAGTTAAAGAAATACTGAGTGCTCTAGGTTTAATACAGTCATTACGAAACTGCTTTCAACATTGAAACTGTATGTAAGTTATTTATGGAAAAGCATCCCAGAAGAATGGAGCATGCTAACATGTTATTTCAATAGTGCATACATATACATATGATAGCCAAAGATTGAAATAGCTAATACACTATTGTTGTACAGAGTTGTTTAAATTAGTAATATAATTTAACAATTAATAACTACTTTGCATGTAGATAGTACAGTACATTACTATAATAAAACAAATATTTATGCTAATTTAAGCCTAGCTCCCCATGCAGTGTTACAACAGAATGATGATTTGTTGACTTTTCATTGGATGTTTGTGGATTTTCTGTGAAACAGCCATGCAATTGTTTAAGCTATATTTCATGCAAAATTGCTTTCAGATTTTAATTATTCAGCCTGTGTGGACTTTGACGAAAAAAAAGAGACACTTATGTAAAGCTCTGGATACAATTCTGATAATGTACAGTATAATGAACATTTGTATATATGCTTGACTTGTTTTAATATATTATTTTAAAACAAGTGGCCTTGTTGCTGTTTGTTTATTGTTGAAGTTTATCACCAACAAGTCACAGACACTTGCTGTAAAGAATCTGGCCAATAAAACCTGACAGTAGCAATATGTCTTCGTGGTTCCAATTAAAAAGTGTTAACAGAAGCCATTGCATGTGACTAGTTCAAGCCACAAAATGCTAATGCATCATCATAAAAAAAAGGGGGGGGGGGGTTGGGCCAAACCTCCCTGCATATATATACATGACATCAGAGAGGATTATTGAAAATTTGTGAAATAGAGGATGCAAAACAGGGTGTGGCAAGTAGGTCTTACTTTCTTATTTACATCTCTTTCAACAAAGAAGATTGAAGGGGTTAAAATTAGATTATGCCTTAGTACTATCTAGAGTATAATAAGTAATTTACAATGAACTTATGACACCATAGAGGGGTGATGAAAAAAGTAGAAAATGGACAAATTAGAGCAAACAAATGTCATACTACACAGAGAAGGGGAGATTGAGTATTTATTTAAGTACATCCTTTTGAAATTAAGAAAATAAAATTTAAATAATATTAAAAGTTGCCAGGTTTATTTGTATAGATTACTGATAAAGTAGTTTAAAATAAAATTTTGTATATAACTGTAAAAAGTCGTGACATATCTTTTGACTTATGTGACAGGTTGTATTACACATGGTGTACATCTTTTTTTCCTACTATGAAATACAACTTTCCAAAAGGTCTTATTACACGTGATGTACACCTTTTCCTACTACCCATTATACCTGTTTGAAAGGTCTTATTAACACACGTGATGTACATTTTTTTATACTTCCCAATATAACTTTGTGAAAGGTTTTATTACACATGGTGTAGATCTTTAACAATGATTAGTCTTGCTTAATGTAATCTAAAAAATAATTTTGCAGTAATACTTCGAGTTTTGCATACTCTGTTTTGTTACTGTTGTTAGCTATGTTTAAACTTGTTTTAGTATATTACTTCCTGAGCATTAAAGTTATTTTCCTTGTTAGACATTAATGGAGATGGTTATTTGGATGAAGATGAAGTGGAAGCCATTTTGAATTTAGAAGTAAGTAATTTTGATAGTTTGAAGGATATTTGTGGTGATATGACAGCTATATTTTCTACTGAGTAAGTTAACCAATTTCTCTCAGAATCATTCCAGTTAAGGCCCCTTGAATGAACTGTTACTCGTGTTTTTAACATGATTTCAAGCTATTTATTGTAAGAGTTTATACGACTATTTTCTAATTACATTTTATTATTTTGCTTATGAAATTTAAGTTAATTTTCATTCTCAAAGATTTTGTCATTCCCAGGATATTATTACTTAATTTCTGCATTGTGTGAATGTAATGACAGCTGATGTACGATATTATTGCAAAATATTTTAGCATTGAAAATGTTTTAAGTGAGTACTGAGCATAAGACTTCTCAGCATGTAAATCAGTGTTAAATACACCATGAGAGAACTCTGATCAAGTGTTTTCACTCTTTATAGTTTACCTGTATACATTATGATTTTGAGTGTTTGATGTGTTTCAGTTGTTATGAAAAGCAATAAAATAATTTACTGAAATCACTATAGAAATAAAAGAATTGGATCACACATGAAAGACAATTAACATTTAAAAACGTGAACTCAAACGGTAATTTTTTTCTAGATAATGACCTAGTTCCATGAAAGCTACTTTCAAATGAAATGAAAATCACATACAAGTTAAATGTATTGTTTTTTTTTCTGCTTGTATTTTGTGTATTCCTGTACTGAAAGCAATACATTGATCTTTATAAAAATGTTATTAGTAACTTTGATGCAGTGATAGAAACTTGAGCAAGAGCAAATGTCATAAAAAAATTATTGAAATTTTGAGATTAATATTACTTTTTACTTCAATCGAGACACAACTCGCAATGTTTTCATTTTTAATTATATTTATCAATATGGATGAAGTATGTGATTCATATATATATTACCTAAAATAAAATTATTATTGAACTAAGAAAGTATTATCGTCCTGATGAATGGTATATTTTTTACTTTAGGTGAAAAAAATGTATGACCCAAATAATCCAGAGGATGATGCAGTTGAAATGATAGAAGAATACAACAGAATGAGAGAACATGTTTACAGTGAGGTACTAGTATTGTATTTTAATCACCATCTGTTGCACATAGGATTGATATTCTTAAAATACATTGTTTTCTTTTTTGTTGTTGTTAAGGTTAATGATTTAGAGGCACTTAATTGATGATTAATACCACCAGATTGAAATAGTACATTGCCATGACTTTCTTTCAGCACTTTCTCTAAAGTAATTGAATTATTTCTTTATGCTGTTAAGCAACAAAAAAATGTGTAGTGCACAAAGACAGTGTCCAACTACATACTCTAGTCACATACTCCAGTTACCAGATCTCTGTCAGTTAGAGAACACATTCAGCTTTACTAATGCACTAACGAAAAACAATAAGTAACTGTTGTAATGTTACTTCAGAATGCAATTGATTGATTATATCCAATGAAAAGTGGACATTAGCAAATTCATTGCTATCAGTTTAGGTAGTATTCTTGTGGGTTGTTATTTGTGAATAACTCATCTTACGAAACAAGTCACTGATGCCAGGATGATATATTTCAGTTTATATATCATGCATTTTAGAATCCCCCTGGCTGCAATAATTTTCATTTCGTGATTGTTAAACACACTTATATTTACATATATGAAAAATAAAACTATATTAGCTACATCAACATTGAAAAAAGATTTGCTATCAGAGGATGTTGATTTCATGTGATCATATTTATTTCCCAACTTCATGACCTATTTGAAAATATCAGTCATATTATTTCATATTTATTGCATTTTGTTAATAATGTACATATATGAAAAAATAAAACTATATTAGCTACATCAACATTGAAAAAATATTTGCTATCAGAGGATGTTGATTTCATGTGAACATATTTATTTCCCAACTTCATGACCTATTTGAAAATATTATTTCATATTTATTGCATTTTGTTAATAAATTTTAATAACAGGAACAAA